CCCCAAAACCCCAAAACCCCAAAACCCCAAAACCCCATGATAGAAATGTTTTCAACTTATAGTAAAATATTAAATTTTTTAATTGAACAAAGTCATCAATCCAAATCTACATCATTTTGTTCAGAGTATTCGTCATTAATTGCTGAAATCATAGCTTTATCAAAATCTATAGGCTAGTAACCAGTTTCTGATTTCAAATTTGACTAGTTTTCAAAAGCAATAGTAAAAATAGCACTCAACGAATTTTGCATTAAATCTTTTTGAAATCGCAAACATTTAGAGCTATCCTTAAGTTTGCTGCTTTTAGTGTCCATTGATCCTATAATATCTATCTAAGCATATCTATCTTCGAATCTAATAGCTATTTCTGGCTCATTTATTCCAAGACACTTCAACCAAAATGGTACTTAGCTCATCTCTTTCAACTTAGGGTTGATCTCATTTATCATATTCTTTAACTTTACTAGGGCAAGATTAGCTTCATTCGATATGTAGAATTCATCCTCACTTCTCTCGACTGATTTTTTAAAGGATTTCATAGAATTAAACTGAAGTTTTTTCATATTCACATTTAGTTTATAGGTATAAGGGTCGAGCTAAAAATTAAGCTCTAAACTTATTTCAGGATAAAATCTTCTCACTTCTCTGTAGTTTCCATTAGAATCATAAAAATGAGCAGCAAGTACAGCCTTATATTTGAAGTTCAAATCTCCCTCAGCTGTAAATTGGATTCCATAGTCGCTCTATTATTGAAGGAAGGAATCTTTAATCGGATTAAATGAATAGATCCAGTTTATTTTCTGGTTATCATCATAATCCAGTTCAAAGTTAGGCAACACTTTGCTTAAATTTCCAATGGTCTTAGGGAAAGTTATGTTCAACTATTCTTCTATAATGCTAATATTATCTTCATCTAAGTTTAACCAGCCTTTGTGATCCCTCAAATAGGCTAATAGTTCATTAAAATACTCTGCATCAAATTTCAACTGCACTAATGGTCTCCTATTGCCTATCGGTTAAAACAGCAAATCCTACAAATTACTATTGCTCACTGGATGATAGCCATAAATAGTACTATATCTGAGATTAAATTGAATAAGATCCTCATAAAAGAACACACCTTCACTCATCTAAGTCAAGTGCTTGATAAGGTTAAACGGCTATTATTCAATACTCGCTTACTCTCCTTGTTACGATTAAAGCAATATCTAATGGCCTATATTCTATTACTCGATTTTCAAAAGGATCTACGATCTAAGAGTAGCTGCAAGCTTACTCATAATTATGATTTTTTAGTCTGAATCAGCCATATCCTTTTCTAGCGTCAAATTAAGCAGATCCATTTAGAATTATTAGGCGGTTGCTTCAAAAATAGGTCCCTTTAACTTGCTTGCTTATCGCATTCCAAACTGAAATTGAATCTTTTTGAAGATGCTATGAAACTTGAACTCTGAAGATGATACACCTGCTTATATTAATCCATCTCCAAACAACTCTACATCCTAAGCCTCAATTATGAAATCTCTCTTGCTTTGATCATACTTCAAAGTAAATATCTTTCCTTCTCTTAATTTGCGTGAAGTTAGATAAAAATTGACTCCTTTGATTTGATACTATTCTTACTTTTAATCCTCAATAGGGATGTCCTAGAAATACTATAGAAGATCATAGTTGTGCTGAGAAAGCTATCCTGCAAGAAAATCTTAACTAAGTCTTAGTTTTATTGGAGTGAATTAGTTATGCTTTAATTAGGGTAAGGTATTAAATATCACAGCTCCTATTATTAGAATAAAAAGTAAGATGCCAGATACTATTTTAATGAAACTCAATGTGAGGCCTCTCGGAACTTAGCTGATAAGGCTACTTGCATAGTTCTAAGAATGTTTTATTATAAATTTTTCACCTAGATATGAAATTATTATTGTTATTAATAGGGCGATTGATATTTCAATAGCAAACCAGAGATAGTTTCTGGGGTAATCACTAAGGCTATACTTAAAATAGGTATCGTATATCTCTGCGACTTTTAAATCATTAAATATTATTCCGTTAGTAATAACCATTGATATAGATATTTTACCAACCCACTAGATGAAATCTTGATTAAGTATGTTTGCCCTGTAAGAGTCTTAATTTTTGTGAAAGCATGCTATAATAAATATTCCAAAAACAACAGTAGCAATGAATATGTTTAATCCACTCACAGTTGGAATTAAATATAACGAGAAAAAAGTAAAAATTATGCTGCAGGCTACAAAAGTTTTAAGTAAAATACTACCCACATCAGGGTTTCTTTTATATCTTTAAGTTACATAAAAGAAAGCTATACCAATGAAGTAACTACTACCTCTGTCAAATATTAAATATCTTTCTCCGGTTGGGCTTTGAATACTTATCATTGCAAATATCAAAATAGCATTAGAAAGCATTTAATAATCAAACTCTAGCCCATCACAAAATTAAATCCAAAATGATGACACTAGAATTAGCTGAAAGAGAATTTAAGTAAACCACAGAGTAGTTAGCAGCTAATTATTGGTGCAATTTCCAATGAATAGCAAATTCGTAATGAAGTCAGAAAAATCCAGAGCCTCAAAAAATAAGTAGGTGAAAATTGAGTATAGGTATACAATAGGTGCTATTTAGAAGTACTTATTAATCCACAATTTGATAGTTGCCTCTTGTATAGAGCTCTTTTTAGCTCCGTAATGGATAGATTACGCAACGATCCAACCCTGCATCATAAGTAAAATATCATATCCGACATATCCTCGTCCAAGTATACTTGAGACCACATTGTTTTCACCAAGATCTTAGTTCAGTTTTATGTTGATAAATGGATTTGCTGAAAACACATTATAGTTTATAATGCTCAGACACGCTAAAATCTTTATTAAGTTACCTCCTGGTAATTCTCCTACTTCCATTATTTTAGAGATTGAGATTATTTGATTTTATGATGTTTCCTTATTAATCAAATTAATAATTTAAAAATCAGTTCATATGTCTATAATAGTAGTAATAATCAGACACAATGAGATTAACTATTACTTAACGGGGTTTTGGGGTTTTGGGGTTTTGGGGTTTTGGGG